CCACCCCAACCTCCCAACTTTACTTAGTGCCACTTTGCCGGTGCGTGTGTGTTGAGTGCTGGCCGGACTACATGTTCGACCTGCTCCTGGCCTGGCCGCCTACATGTCGAGGTGTGTTCTTGGACGCCTGTCGCTGCTCGTGCGGACACGGCGGTGTCCTGGGTGAGGAGGGGGAGGGGGTGCATTGCGTAAGTGGGGCTCCGTGTGCAATCAGCGCCTGCCCCACGGTGGCACCCGAGCCGCCCGAGTCCTGCCCTCGTCAGCCGTGTCCCTCCCACGCGTGTGGCCGGCGCGGAGAGGGGGGGGGGGGTAGGAAGCTCACTGCGGGCGGGTCACGGGGGGGTCGTGTTCCTCTCGGCGTCGTCGAATATTCATGGGGACCTTCAGATACTGATGCGCAGGGCACCGCGGACAACAGTTCCACCAGCCCAACACACCAACCCTCTGACACACAACGCTGCGACGCGGGCATTCCTCCGCGCGGCCGCGCCGGGGGTGCGTTGGCCTGTGGGGCGACTGCCGCCGCCCCCCACCCCCTGGTGGAGCCCCGACGTCGTCCTTGAGGCTTGGCGAGAAGCCCAGACCGGCGCCAGTGCCGCCCAGCCGCCGCCAGTGCCCATGACTTCCTCATGGCTGCGTGTAGGGCTTGTGCCGCTCGGGCACCCCTCCTCTGCCCCTTTCCCCGGGCGGGGAAGGCAACAGCACCGAGTCCCTGGGGCGGTAAAGGGTGTGGGGTTGACGCCGAGTTCGGCATCTGATGCCCACCCGCTGCCCACCCGCTGCAGGGGCTCTGGTTGGCGCCGATGGTGGTCAGGGGGAAGGGGGAGGTCGGGTCGGTGCTCCCCCCCCCCTTCCACCACCACCCGCCGCTGTGGTACCAGCTAGTACACTGCGGGTCATTGAAGTACGCCTCACGATGTGTGCGCGGGAGTGTCCTGTAGGGCAGAGACTTTATCGTGCTGGCGGAGTTCCTGAAAGCGGTCGAGCCTAGCACCACCACGCCACCACCACCACGCCACCACCACCACGCCACCACCACCACGCCACCACCACCACGCCACCACCACCACACTTGCTGAGGCAGCCGCATGAGCAGCTGGACGTCTTTTGGTTCATGCCGTGGGCTTGGCGCAGCTTTGCGGCCGCCCTGCCGTTTGCACTTGCGCGCCACTGTGCCGTGGTCGGGTTGGAGTGGGTGAGTGGGTCGCAGGGACCCGCGCGCACATGCGTTATGGATCGGACCTGCGAGTCAGTAGTACACGCCGGCAAGGTGCAGCATTTCGCAAGTGCAAGACGGGCGAGTTTGGGGGGAGGGGTGGCGGCTCGTGTGGCAGGGCATCGTGGTGGCGGTGGCGTTGTGAAACATGCCCAGACGTACGTCCGGAACAAGCGTGTGAGCGGTGAAAGTGTTGACATTGCCACTGACCGAGCCCCCGCCGAGCCCTGAGGAAACGGACATCGACGCTGTATGGGACTTGACTTGCCAATCTCAGATCGGGCGGGGTGGTATACCTTTGCTTCCACAACATCCCGATGCAACTGTTTTGATTCTTGCTGACGTCAGGGGGCGTATTAGAGATCATTCGTCGTGACCAACCTGCCAAGTTCAGCCTATGCGAGCTCTCGTAGCGCCTGCCAGGTAGGCAACATCTTGCCTGCAGTGCATGCCTGCACTGCGGGGCGGCCGACCCCGAGCCTCGCAGGCGCCGAGCTCCCGCAGTTTGCCGAATAAATATATGGAGAAGCGGACGTACTTTCCGGACGATACCTTAGTGGTTGGCGAATGCCCTACAGGAAGTGGTCCGTGGAGGGGCCCTGCGCGAGTGCGTGAGGGGCGGGTCCGCGGGTGTGTGCCTGGGGCGCGGCGGCCGCGGCGACACTGTCGCGACATTGTGCTGCAAGTCACGGCCCCGACAGCGGGCCTCGCGCCTCTGGACGTGGCCTTGCCGGAGGGGATGGGCGTCCTGGTCCCGGGCTGGAGACCCCCCCCCCCACACACCCCCTTCCCCGCATAGCGCATGTGGCTCGGGGCGCGGCGCGCGCGGCCCTGGGTGGGGCTTCCCTTGCTGACCGTCTATCTTGTCGCGTCGCGCCACGTACCGCCACGCTCCGCCCCATGGTCACGCACTAAACGCAGAGTTGTTAATTCGACCCCAAACATGGGCGCGGCTACACGCTATTTGCCAAACTCATACTATGGCTTTTTTTTTCTTTAAGAAATACGTTCAAGTCGAGATTCAAGAGGAGTAGCTGAAAACAAAATTTCTGTTACTACTGTTTCTTTTTATTATATTAAAATGAGGGAGTGTGCCTCAATATGAGGCAAGGGAAGCTCAGTGCCAACGCTGCCCTAGACTTAGATTTTGCATTGTACTCAGAGCTCTGTTCAGAGCAGGAAGTTGGTGTAATAACGTTGTACCCACATTACTCAAGAGGGATCAATCAATAGTGTCCAAGAGGGATAAATATTTAATAAATGTATTTATTTTTTCAGTATTTAATGAGTGGCTGGGCCGGTGAATACAGCTTCCGCTGCCAACCTGTGGACTACTCCTACAGCCCCATAGCCCTTAGAGTGAGTAATACTATTTACTACTCTCATGCTATACATATGTTTGAATTGCATCTTCTAATTTGTTTTCATTAATTTGCAGATGGCTAACACTTGTTGGTGGTACTATTTCTCAAAGTTCACTGAATTCTTTGACACTGTAAGTATAGTAGTTTTGCTCTATATTCAACTTTTCGACATCTTGCTAATTTAATGTCTCATTTCAACAGCTGTTCTTTGTGCTGCGCAAAAAGAATGAGCATGTGTCATATCTTCATGTGATTCATCATGGTGTTATGCCCTTCTCAGTTTGGATGGGCCTCAAGTTTGCCCCAGGTAATTAGTAATTTATTTTTCTACTACAAAAGTTTATTAGTTCTAAAAATTTAATAGCAATATGTTTCTTTCAAAATGTTAGGTGGCCATAGTACCTTCTTTGCTCTTCTCAACACCTTTGTGCACATTGTGATGTACTTCTACTACATGGTAGCAGCATTGGGGCCTGAATACCGTAGATTCATCTGGTGGAAGAAATACCTTACCTCCATGCAAATGGTAGTTCTACATAAATAATGGGATCATTCACTTTTAAAGTGGTAAATGAAGTTACTTAAAGATTAAAATATCTATCTCCTTTTCAGGTTCAATTTGTGATGATAATGACCCATCAATTCCAACTTTTGTTCACTGAATGTGACTACCCTAAGAGCTTTATGGTTTGGATTGGTCTCCATGGCATCCTTTTCCTTTTCCTATTCTCTGACTACTACAAATCTAATTATCTGGCAAAGACTGGCAAGTTAAAGAAATCCTCACAAAACGGTGGAGCCTGCATGGTATGCTACTTTTTTATTTTTGAGTTTTATTGAACCTAAGACTTTGATTCCAATGCTTCATATACTGTTACTTGTTGCAGCCGGTTCTTGATGACACCACTGATGGTAATGCCAACCGTGCCAATGGGAAAGCTGTTCCTCATAGTGATTATGAAAGTGCTTATATCAAACCATATTCGAGTTGCTACTCAAATGGCACCAGTAATGGATATGTATCATCAAACGGAGTCAGTAGAGAAACTCGCAAGACCCAATAGGTTTGTTGTTTTGTTGACTGTTAACTTTCTATTTGTATTTAAATTAGGGCTATGTTATAAATTTGAACTCAATTTCCGTATTTGGAAGAGCATCTAGTGAATGTTTTACAGAAAGGATCTAAGAATACTTTTGTATATTTTTGAAATATTTTAAACCCATCTTTGTTTTTTTGTGTGTGTTTTTTTTTTTTTTTTTTAAGTTGTTTCATAAGCTTATCAATCTTTTTAATCTTATGATTGATTTCACATCTTATGCTCTTTCCAATCAGAGTTTAACATATCTGTTTTAATAAAAACATATCTATTTGCATTGTTTTCATGAGAGACTTTTTTTTATATATATATTTAGATGCTCTCTGACTAGACAATTTGTAAAACTTTACTCCATTCTTAATTTGATCAATATTGAAATTCTAATTTTTACGTTGCCTTTTTAAGAAACAATAAAATTAAAAAATAGTGGTTTTTATGAGGAGCATTGTGGGAACCTCTGAAAATATCCATAGATGTGCATCTACCGTTACTTCAAGTGGCTGTAGTAGGAGAGTTTTGATGTAATATTCTGTCGAGACTTGCTTTTATTTTTACCACGAACATTTCAGCTATCATTGCCCACTAGAAGGGGAGTACTTGTAAGGTATATAAATAGAAACATTGTAGGAGGTATTGGAATTCATCCCCCCTCCCCTTTGCCCCCCAATTTCCCCTTCTAAATCTTAAGCGCACTGTTTGATAAACTCCCATCCTTGTGACAATCTTTCGTGAATTAATTAAGCAGTCTACTACAAGTCTCGGCAAAACATAGCTAGATTTACCAACAGAATCTGCTTGCTAAGCAGACGGAAATTAGGAAATGCAAGTTAGTATGGCTGTTCTCAGATTCTTAAATTAAACATGGGACCACCAGGTGCTAAACTTAAACAAGTGGAAAGTAAATTTTGTCACCTGTTCTGGAAAAAGGTTTCGACCATTTCAATTTTAGGAGCTTAGATTTTGTGTTCATTTATTTCTTAAAGTAACTTTTGCCTGGAAAATAGCGTAACTTTTGAATCTATAAAATTTCAATTTGTGCTGGAATTCAACCTTAATGATTTCTATTCTCAGGCCACTTTCACTTTTGTGTGCTCTTGATTATACTAGTTGTTAGCCCTTCTATTTTTCAAACTGAGATAGTTGCCGGTTTTTGCTCAAGTACAAGTTGTCAGAGCTTCAGCAAATGAGTCTTACCTATTTCCTCGACTAAATGAAAAGTACCAGTATTTATTGATTTGATTATGTGCTAGCTAATGACTCCATAAGCTTTAGCATATATATGTAAATCTACATGTTGTATTTGTTGCTTGATGGATTAGTGTCATGTAAACCTTTGCACCTAGATCTCAAAAACAATTTGGCAACCGCATGCTAACATGTTCATTCAAAGGATTAAAGATTCATATGTTAAAAATTACACGATTGCACCAAATACTGCTCTGGTTTTTTTTCCAAATCTAAATGGGACTAGACTACTGCATACTGTTGCCAAGTTGCTAGCAAAGATCTGTCTGCAGAGTGAAGTCTAAATGATAAAAGTTCAGTTAGGTCCTAATTTTTAACTGTAATTTTTGTTTCTCCTCTATATAAAATAAGGGACATAGTTACCTCCCACTCGTTTTAATCCTGTGTTTGTTGTTTATTCTCAGGTTTCCTTTGTAATCATTGTAAATATCTGTTATTCAAATTGCCTTGTTTTCATGAAATGTTCCTTATTTAAAATAATTCCTTCATTTCGATTGGACCATGGAAATCTTGGTTATTTTTTCTACCACTATTGTGTCCATACTTAATTAAGCCTGCATATTGTTATATGCTGTTATTTTTGTACATAAGTTAGGTAAAACTATTAAAAAAAAATGGAAAGATCTACCGTGATATTTTTCTGCCCTCAAACGTAATTCAACACGATTGCAACCTGCAAAACATTGTGATTTATCCGAAGACTATACACAAGATAAATGTAAAAGTTGAGCAGAGCGAAGACTGGGAGATGTTTAGATTTCACATTATTGCGTTTTGTTTTTATCTACCAAAACAAAAATTATATTTTTTCGAGTAGTTAACACAGTTTAGTTCAGGATTATGGCCTCTTGCAGTAGTGAACCATCAAAATACGCCCTAATCTCTGGCATTATTTTGGAAAATTCTGGCATCGTTCTTTATTCAGCGGTTGCCTGGCCTGTCGGCCGAACGTCTCCCCCTCCTTTCCCTTCCCCTCCCCCTCGCTGCCATCCCTGCCATCTCACAAACTTAGGTTATGATTTAGTTTTATTATTGTAGAGTATATTTGTTATGTTAGGTAATGAACTTTTGAGGGAAAGAATCCCTCCATTGAAAGAGATGTCTCTCCGTGATTGGCGCCAGGCGCTCACTACTCCACCAATGTATCGAGTTGGTAATAGTACATTGAGAATCCAAACCCACTTTGTATGCCTCATAGCAGCTGTTGGATTATTTGTTTTAATTGTGTGGTATGCAATGTCTCCGCCTAGCAGAAGCCATAGATCTTACCTCTATTCTGAGCATTACGATATGCTTCCCTTAAGCAATGTCATAACTCCTAAATCTGTAATTGATTCTTACAATGCAACTTACCCACTAACTCCACCTGTCAGGTCAGCTTTTGGGATAACATATAGAATAGGTGTTATCAGCGATCTGGATACAGATTCTAAAAGTACTTCAGAATCAAGTACGTGGGTTAGTTATTTCAAGAAAGGTCACTTAACTTGGGACCGTGTTCATGGCTCTGCAAGTTTTAAATGGGATGCTTCAGAACCAACACGGCTGACAAGTACTCTTGGGCAAGGCAAGCGAGGGATGGAACTGTCAGAGCTGATTGTATTTAATGGAAAGTTGTATGCACCTGATGATCGAACTGGAATAGTTTATGAAATTGATGGAACTAAAGCCATTCCGTGGGTGCTGCTTACTAATGGTGATGGGCGCAGAGTTAAAGGATTTAAATCCGAATGGGCAGCTGTTAAAGACAACAAACTATATGTTGGTGGGCTAGGTAAAGAATGGACAACATCCACTGGGGAGTTGGTAGACTTTGACCCAATGTGGATCAAGCAAATCCATCCTACTGGGCAAGTCTCTCATCATGATTGGAAGACTAACTATGAAAAGCTCAGAAGATCAGTTGGTATTGAATTTCCTGGTGGGTACACCTTCATTAAGGATCAATTTGAGATCTTCTAAATTATTTGTAACTGTTGAACCAAATTCAGTTACCTGTATATATTTATTTAAGGATACATGATACATGAGTCTGCAGTATGGAGTAATATACATAAAAAATGGTTCTTCCTTCCTCGGAAAATGTCTAAAGAAATTTACCATGAAGATAAAGACCCATATCATGGAACAAATCTTTTACTTACAACAGATGAAAATTTCTCCAATATTGATGTGAGTTAATTTCTCAATTACTCAATGAAATTTCTTTTCCCACTTTTTTAGAGACGAATAATGATATTCCTTGATTTGGTTTTCAGGTTGTTAGTGTTGGAGAAGCTATCAGAACCCACGGATTTTCAAGCTTTAAATTCATTCCTGGGACTGAGGATGATGTAATTGTTGCTCTCAAATCAGAGGAAACGCCGCAAGGATCGGCAACTTATATCATGGTTTTTGATATTAAAGGCAAGATTTTGTTTCCAGAGACCAAAATAGCTGATATAAAATATGAAGGAATAGAATTTATATAATGATCAGAGTAATGAACTTTATTAGCATTTTTTAAAATAATTATTAGGGCACAAATAAGTTTATCAGTAATTTGTGCCATAAATCGGCTTTTTTCAAGGTAGGATTCTCACTGTTCTTTCAGGATGGGTGATACGAAGCCAGATAACAAGCATTTCTTGATTGAGATAAGTAGATTTGACTGTGATATTGTAATTTTTATCATATACTGCTCATCTGTACATCCCCCTCATCCTAGTTTTACCTAAAAATATTAAGTTTCCCTTTTCAGATTTGTGTCTAGCTTTTTGCAGTAGATTGATTTTACAAATACTCCAACTAAATTGTGAGGAGACCAAAACTAAGCCGCAAGTATTTATTATCTAAAAATGTTTTCTCCGTAGTGACCATTTTAGTTGAATAAAATGTGTCTTCTTGTATAGACTGAAGATTTCAGCTTCAAAAGAACTGTTATAATGGCTGTGATGTAATAGAATTTCAAGAAACCAATATAACGTATGATAAGGCAGAACTCTGCAAGGTTATTAATGAGAAGTCAATTTGTTTTTCTGTAGTATTTTATTTATTGAAGTTCTTCTTTACTATAAGGTCCTCTTGTTTTGGTCATTTCTGATAATAGTGACTCTCTTGTTAAAAGCCTATTATGCTCCTCTATGTTCTCTGCCTCGAAAGAGGCAAATACCTTTTTGTAACAATCATTTAGTTTTGGTAGATGATGAAAATCACTGAGATGACACTATAAAGAAAATTAAACTCAGACTCAACATTAAATTAGAAATTTGTGGATATTAGGTGATTTAATGACTATCACTCAATATCTTCAAAATATTTAACATACCTGCAGAAAATCAAATGCTACACTGACATTGCTTGTGTGTTCTATATTTTGAATACATGGGATTGCAGGGTATCGTTTGCTAAAATGTGTCAGAATTATTTGTTTAGCACCCATCATTTTTCCTACAGCAATGGCATCTTTAGTTGTGCTGTGTCTAGCTTGTTTTGCCATTAAGTCTAATCCAGTTCCAAATGTTGCCTCATGAATTAACAGATCACTTCTTTCTCCTAGAAATTCCAGAGGAAATCTATTAATATGAACATTGAAATGATAGATAGTAAAGAGAAATAACTGCAAGTCCTCTGTACCTATATCCACAAAGTTTCTGTTCATTTGAGTGTCTCCAGAGTAACTAATTTTCCAACCAGAACTGTGCTCAAAACAGATGCAGTAGGAAAATGCGGAATGTTTAGCATAACAGACCAATACTTTCTTCATCCCCAAATGTTTACGGAACAGAGAATTGAATTCTTCATCACTGTGTCTCAAGGTCACCTTTGTTCAGAATGTGATAAAGTTCATTACTAGTGTATTAAATATCCATCTTAATAAACTAATAAAACTTGATTTAAAAAAAATGAACCTACCATGTCTGAGAGATTAATGAGGATGACATCATCCAGAATTGGCTGAAACTTGTGATGGTAAGTTTCAAGCCAACTTACGAAGACTGGTGGAACAAGTATTATTAATTTGTTTTTTCTCCCTTTTGAAATGTTGTTTTTTCTTATTTCAAGCAGGAGACCAATTATGCCGGCATGATGGTCAGCATGTGTATGAGATACAAAAATACACTTAAGTGAAGAAAGGACTTTCTCTCTTTGTGATGTGCCATTTAAACATGAAAGTTGATGCATCATTCCATCACCACAATCTAGCATAATTGAACAGTCAGAACTGAAAAAGGTGTTTTTAGAAATTGATGTAGTAGAATATATTTTTACCAAAGGGAAAGAACATTCCATGCAAATTGACAAACCTCATTTCAAGCAGTATTCCCGATGAGTTGCGATAAGCTGAGTTACCCTGTGAACCTGTACCTAAAAATGTTATCTTTGGGTTTTTTGGAGATGTCTTTGAACAGATGTTAAAGAGCTTCCTGCTTTTGATAGGGTCTTCAGAAACCATGAATGGTTGGAATGACCTTGGGGTTCAAATAAAAGTAGTCAGTAACTCTTTTAGAGGGTACGAAGAATGATTCAAATATTTTTATACATACCTAACTGGAAGTAAAGATCTTAAGTTTATAGTAGTTCCTGGCCATGATTCTAATATCTGAACTTCTTTTGGAATATTTTTCCATTCCTGTAGCCATCTTTCAGAATTTTTATCAGGCACATAAGAGGCTGGCTCATCAGCTTCTAAGACCTCCCGTACCGTGTAATGAGAGGGATGATTAGGAGTTCGTATGACATTTGAGATTAACTGTGGAAAAAACTCAGGACTAATGAGTCTACAAATTTCTTGTCTATTAAGGACTCTTTCAGGTGTTTGCCACAAATTACTTTCATTAACTATCAAATGTTTGGTAGTTGGAGGAAAACATTGCATCCAAGATATGTACCTGAAACATTACCATGAAATGAATAACTAACAAATTTGTTCTTCAATCCAAAAACTAAAATGTTTACCTTTCATCCTTCATAACATTTACTGGTGAAAAATGTACCACTAAACATGAATTTTGTTTTTGTTTTGTTGACGAGAAAAATTCCTTATACTCTTCTTTCTGCATTAGATCCTCTATGAATCCCTCACTTGGAACATCCAAAACTGGAAGAAATCCAACGATATTGTAGGGGCATTACGACAAGATTTAATGTTAATAACTGGTATCTCACCTATCACATTAGGAAAATTATCGCTCTTAATTACATCTTCTGGTGTAACAATTGAACCATCCTCAAGAACAACACTTTCTCCTCTCCAGAGTTTCTGCATATTTTCTCCAGGCTTCACACCTCTTTTCACACATTCCGAAAGCACCCAGGCATTTTTTGAAACAAATTTAATGATATAGCTATGAGCTGTGTTTAAATCAATGTAATTTTGTGGTACCCTGTCTAAAAGATAAAGTGGCATTTCAATTTAACTATGTTTATTTTTTTAATGCATAAGAAAAAGCTTTATTGCAAAAAAATTACTTACCTAATAGAGATTCTTCTTGTACTACTGGTTTGTACGTAAATTTTTTTCTAAACCATGACTTGTCCACATCACATGATTTGTGAGACACCCCATCCTTAAGACTTAATGGCACAGTTTTCACTTGCAGTAGATCACTTTCAAAGGCAGAGCTCTCAAAGACCTTTACCTTAAAATTGTCAAGTCTTAAAAAATTCTCCAATGCTCGAATAAATACATCCTGAAATGATTGGTTAATTTAACCAATGTGAATGTCTGATACAAAAAGAAAATCGATCATCATAAATTAAGAAATTAGATCCTGCTCACCAATCCAGGTGGTCCGTAGAATGTAACTTCTTCAAGTTTCGAGCTAGAGGCTTTGTAAATCAGACTTATGATTCCGCCTATCTTTATCCAGTCCAAATGTGTCACAAATACATGGTTTAGAGTTCCTTTAAATGTGCTCTCACCAGACTGACCACAGTTGAAAAATATCCTAAAACGGGATCAGAAGTCACAATATCTTTAACCATAATGCGCAAGCAAATATGGTACAAAGGTTACGTTTACAGGGCAAATATGACGCTCACACAAGTTAACCTCCGAATCTTACCTTTCGTTCATAAAACGCAAGAGAATCGATTTTGAAACATTCAAAGAGCCATTTCCAGTAACTTTGACGAACGTATCACCGACAGGGGCAAGTGGAGTTTCATGTAGTACACGCATATAATAATTTTTGTTTTTGCCTTCATGTTTGTTACACTTCAAGATTAAACAGTGATATCGCGTTGAACAAGGAGGGATTATACGACAACTAACTAATCCTTTAAGAAGTGACATAATGGAAATAGATTTTATAAGATACTATATTTTTGTACCTTAACCTAGATTACATATGTGTTTGTTTTCAAATTTTGATGGCGCTGCTGTCTGCTGTGTTTTTTGCTGCCTAGAACGCCATGCTGGTTACAGACAGATCAGAAGTCTCAGCCTGCTGACACTTATAGTTACGCTTCATTTAGTGACGGTTCGAGTCGTTATTTTCTTTTAAATTCAAAAATAGAACATTGCCAAATTGCGATTGATTGCTAGGTTCTAATTTATTCATGTTGAAGTATGACTTCAAATGTCTTTCCCTAATGAAAATTGCGGTGCGAATAATGAGTTGTGTATGTTGTTGGCCAAGCAGACAGGAGTTTTTCTATGAAAGCTTTCGTAGTTTTCTGGTGGAAAAATAATTTTAAAAGTGGCCAAGTTGTGCATCGAATAATTACGTTTCAGTAAATTTAAAGAAGAAGAAGCAGTTGGTAAGTTTCAATTCGTCAGTGTTAACTGCAACTGAAGATTGAGTCCAAGAAGGTATTACTGTTATTGATCTTCTAGCTTTCGTTGATACAGTAAAAAAATTAGTTTTGGTGGTTACTGTTATCCGAACAATTAGTTAGAGGGAGGGTAGTTTGTAGAGTTTGTTCTTTTATTGAATTGAGTCTACTCGAACACTGTGTTCATGTGTCAGCTGTTTGACTCTTTGAGGTTAAGAAGTGTAGTGACAGGTTTAGGCCGGCAGTTCATTTTATATCTTTTTCTCTCGTGCGAAGAGGTGCATCAGATTGGTCAAAAAAGATTTTGTTTGTTCGACAATTTTCACTGTGGACTGTTTGAAAAGGGTACAGTGCGACAGTTGGAATAGTTATCTCATTTCTTGAATGTGTGGAATGATTTTACAGCAACTGTCATTTTTTAGCCACCATGGGGGAAGAAGGTGCATCAGGAAGTGAGCATCACCGTCTCCTGTCAGAAATGAGAGCCCAAAATCTTGACATGATAAGGTTTGCTTCCTATCGCACTGCTTGCAAATTGCGATTTGTTCAGAAGAAGGCAAATTGTTAGTACCTTTATTTTACTGTGTTGTATCAGTGACAAGTAATTTTGTTTTTCTCGAAAAATGCATGTATATGTTTTAATTTTTGCAGTACATCAGGTAGACATTTGGAATGTGATTGAAGCTTTCAGGGAGAATGGTCTCAATACCCTAGAACCACAAATGGAGGTGAATGTTTCTCGTTTGGAAACTCTCATCTCAAGTTTGTATCATAATCTGAACAAAAGGCTTCCCCCTGCCCAGCAAGTGCATGCTGAGAGTAGTTCAGGACTTCTTCTCAATTGGTTATTGTCAGCATACTCTGCGTAAGTATGAATTAATTGAATTACCTCAGTTTCATACTATTTGGGAATAATAATTTTCAGTAATTCCCTTTATTATTTACAGAGAAAATACTGGAAAAATTCGTGTTTTTTCAATCAAAGTTGCTCTTGCAACAATGTGTGCAGGCAAACTTATGGATAAATTACGCTGTATGTGTTATATCTAATGTTTTTGTAAGAATCTGATATGAGCAAGCTTCATGTTTAGTTGCTTTATTACTCTTGATGTTCCAGATATTTTTTCCCAAATATCTGATGGAAATGGGCAGCTGGTTATTTGGCGTTTTGAAGATTACCTTCGTGAAGTCTTAGCACTTCCTGCAGCTGTTTTTGAATCTCCTTCATTTCACTACTCTTCTGATTTATCAGCTAAAATTTTCGTTGGGGTAAGTTTAGGTGGATAACTTGGATAACTTGACAATCTCATAGATAAGATATGATGTAATTTTAAGGTCTTTATATTATTTATTTCAGAGTCAGAAAGTGACAGTAAATGATTTTATGGACACCATGATGTCTGATCCAGGTCCAGCTTGCTTGGTGTGGTTACCCTTATTACACAGACTGGCTGGTGTTGAAAGTGGTAGGTCAAGGGTTTTACTTCTGATACCAGTTCAATAATTAATGTGTAATTACTATTTCTATATGTTTTTCAGTGGTTCATCCCATCACATGTGATGCTTGCCATAGAGAGAACTTTTCTGGCTTCCGCTATCGTTGTCAAAAGTGCCATAATTTTCAAATGTGTCAAGATTGCTTTTGGCGTGGTCGTATATTTGGCTCACACACCAATGAACATGAAGTGAAAGAATACACTTCATATGTTAGTTTTATTTTATTGTCTTGTTTTTAAAGTGAACCCCTTTCTTTGTTAATTGTCTGTCATTTAATTTTGTAATTTTGTACTTACAGAAGTCGCCAAGCAAACAAATTGGTCACACTTTGAGAAAGTCCTTCCGGTGTGTGCCAGAAAAAGGCCGCCCAAATATTCCACGATTTCCAGAAGAACCTGAGAAAACTCTCAACCTCTCCCACATTGTGTAAGTGGTGATGAGCATTTTCCACATCTACTTACATTTGTTAGTTACTGTAGAAGTGACATTTTTTCTTGTAATTTCAGTCCTCCTTCACCTTTACCCTCTCACAATGGATTCCCTGAAAGCTCCTTCATGAGTACTCAGTTTGATGTTGGCTCTATGGATAGCCGCTCTACAACAAGAAGGTATCTACCACCATATTTCATTGTCCTGTGCTCTTTTTATTGTCCAATAAATTTAAAACTTTCTTTTTTTTATACCATCAGCCCGGGGAAATACTCTTCTAGTCTTGATTCCTCCCGCTATGATGATGAGCATCGTCTAATTGCACGTTATGCTGCCAGACTTGCAGCAGAAGCTCGCACTGTGGTAAGCAATCTGACAGGCCTAGGTAAAACCTTCACTTTGTCTCTTCTTGTCTTGTCTTGTCTTCTCTTGACAACAACAATAAATTAATTGAGGCTTCTTCCATGTTCTGTGATTTTCAAATTTTTTATTGATTTGTCTTTGCCCACTCACCTGTGTCCCCAAATTATTTGTCTTACCTACTAATATGTTGGTGATTGTGGTCCACAGACCCCTTCCTTTATTTTGTCTATACTGTACCGGATGCAAGCGTGCGGCCTGGTAGCATACTCACACGGGGCCATAAGGCGCCACGGTGAGCGACGGGACGGTAGGCAAGCCCGCCCGCCCGCATTCATGCGTACAGTTTAAGCAAAAGGGAAGGGGTCTGTGGACCAGCCTGTATATCCTCTCTGTAATATGTAGACATTTTTTTCATGTAATTAATTCTTTTATTCCGCAGCCAAGGCACTCATCAAGGTCTTCAATGCACATCCCTGACCTTGGGGTATGTACAACATTTTTTTAAATTATGTTTTTTAATGGGTCCTCATCTGATCATAGTATTTGCTTAGCTCTTTATGAATTTAGTAATTTATTCTTATCATTAAACTTATTCGAATTATTTTGAACTTTTTTTAGGGGAGAGCTCCATCAGAAGGAAGCCTAAGCCTTGACTCTTCTCGGGTTCAGAGAGAACTTATTGCTCAGTTGGAAGCCAAAAATAAAGAAATAGTGCGTGAAATCAAGAGACTAAAGTAAGTATAGGGCCAAATTAGAAAAGTGTTTTAAACCCTGGTTAGATTAGTTTTGATAAAGTGGGTTGACCTAATTTTAAGGATCCAACAAGATTTGGAAAATGCTGCCCTGGGCTCTGAAGGATCTTCGGCAGATAACCCTGCCTTAATGTCTGAACTTCGCGCATTGCGCCAAAGGAAAGATGAACTTGAAGGACATTTGTCATCTCTACAAGACTCAAGGAGGCAGCTTATGGTTCAGCTAGAAGGCCTCATGAAGTTACTTAAGGTAAGTTTCTTGTTTTCTTGAACATTTTAAACCAGACTTGAGACAGTTTGGAACTTTTTGGTTCTATGTAAGTGGGAAAAAAATGAAAAATAAATCTGTGTCAATGACAATCTCAAGTCTGGTCACATTATGTTGCTTGTGTAGTCTCTCAAGGGATTCGTCTTCTTCAATGATGCTTTACCACTTTCATTGTAGAATGCGTAGCTCTGGTTTGGTGGGTATGGTGTCTAAGAATGATTTTACTACTAAACTCACCTGCTATTCTTGAATTATGTGGTCATATCACACACAAATGTTGTGATTATATTCTTGCACAATCAATATATGACTATTCCAAAGCAAGTATATTTATTAACTCACAACATTATCATAATTCTTCCTCCAATTTTGTTTCAAATACATTGCTTTGTAAGAAGAAAATATCTGTGTAGTAGCTAAGCTTTAAGCACTTGTGATTGATAAAGAAGAAGTGAGTGCTGGCTTCATATATATTTCACAATACTCTTCATAAAAAATTAATAAGTTTTTTGACATGGTTAATCTTGAATTGCGCTATATGGTCAGTACAGTTACCTTCCTCTTTGTGGACTTTATTACCTTATTGTGTTTTGATGTCTTCAGTAGAGTGCTACATGTTATTGAAACCAAAATTATACTGCTTTCTAATGGTAGTTTGGTTTTATTAAAGTTGATTCCAGAGCTTAATTTTGGGGGCAAAGTAAAGAGTTAAATTGATGAAAAAGGAAAGACCTCAAAATAAATGACTCAGTAACTAACCCCTTAAGTAACAATATGTCAAAAAACAATGAAATAAAACAATTTGGTGATTTGTGGGTGTGATTACACTTCTAGATTGACTTTTCTGTCTCAATGTTTTGCTGGTTTTTTGGTGGTGGTGGCATTGGGCTTAATATTTTCCCCATGAAGATTTCCCTGATCCCTGCACTAAAAATTGTGCCAAAGGAGAAAGTGAAGAAGGAACATTTTTATTTTTTATTTTCCTTTCTGTGGTTTTGGTTGTTGGTTTTTGTTTGTTCAATTGCACCGCAGTACACATAAAGCTGCTTTACCGGCTCAGCTCTTAATGCTCTTGCATAATGACAGTTCAAGCCATATTTTAAGTGTAGTTTCAAATAAGTGCCTTCATTTATATCCAATTTAGAAATGTTTAACTCCTGTTTAAATCCTTAATAATCTAGAATAATCAAGTTCATAGCTGTTGTTTTAAATTTGGACAGGTCTATTTATAAGACAATGTTTGTTTCTCAAGGCAGGGTACAAAGCCCTATGTGCTGTTATTTGAGTTCTACAAGGAGTCATTTTGTTTCGTGATCTATTATTAAGAGTTTCACTGAACACTTTTTATAAATTTTTCTGATAAATGTTGCGATCACTATTTTGTGTGCTCTTCAGTATCCATTTTGTGGAAGAATACCTACATTGATTAAGCAAAAGGTTTGCAATTTGTTTTATGTCTTTATGCTTGGGTTGTAATGTTGTAATGAAGAATGGATTTTTATTCTACTTTGCTCAATGGCATCTTTCAATCTGCTGTAAGTACTAAGTAATCTTTCTGCCTGAGTAGATCTCTGCTAGATAGTGCACTTCAAGAAAGCATGATGTTGGAAAATGGACTGTGGTTTGGGAAATCAACACTTGCCTGATGCGTGATTTGTCATAACTGTGAATGTGAAGGTGTTTGTGTTGCCAATTGTCATTAAAAAAAAAATAGTTCATTAAAAACAAATAAAAATAGGTTGAAGCTGACAATGATCAAAATCTGTATACTTTCTTTTACTCTTTTGAAGGACAATTTGTATTTTGGTGATTGTTTTGCAGGCTTCATCTGTCAGCCCTCCTCCAGAAAGACACTGACGGTCGAGATCGGGCCTCAGGGATATGGACAACTTCCATCAAGGCACATTATAGGAAGGAAGACCAACAATCAGTCCATGTAGGCCTACAGCCAGTCCCTGTTGCTCGATCTGATTTTATTTGTAGTCCTTTTACTCCGCAACATCCATTAAAGAAATGTTTTGTTTTGTAATAGGTAATGTAATTAGCAACAGCTTTACTATTACTTTGCTTAGAAGCAGAGAAGAATATGAAAGGTTCAATAATGTACTCACTTATGCCCCTCTTTATGGATGAAATTGATGTAGGAGGTGGTGAGAGCTTATGCTATAAAATGTTATCAGGTACTAGCTAGAATGTCTTTCTATGACGTAATTAATCCTCTTAATTTTTGCCCAGTCCAGTACTACTTACTAGAGGATGAAACATTGATTTTTATTGATCTGTCCCATTGCAATGTTCTGTAATTCAATTAATTGTCTGATGAACAGCGGTACTTCTTAGATTATCTACAATCATGTTCAGTTTCTTTGGTTTTACTTCCAAAATGATAAAAAGTAAGGTAACATGCAGAAAGGAAAATTAGAGTGGACAAAGGACAAAGCCTTTTTGCATGGCTTGAAGCAAAAAAAAAAGAAAAGAAAAATAATCCCATATTAAGTTTGACTATATGTATTTTTCTTCTATAAACATTATTTTTCATGAGACATTACATGAGGAAATGTAAAGCATTAGTTGTCAATAAGCTAGAGCCTTTGTTAACCTCATATTGTAATAAAATGTATTAGGTGTAGTGTTTGATTGCTAGTGAGCCACAAATTTATTACCTAATATCCATCTCTTCATGGATTGCATATTGGGTGTTGTTCTACTTCTATCTTCTTGACAATACTAGGCATTTTGCCTTATTTCTCTATAAGATATTATTGATAAAATATTCTTGGTTTGCTTGTAGAGTCTTGACATTCCTTACTGGACATTTATCTCCTTCCTGCATCTAGCAATACAGACTAGGAGCTTGGAAATTAATACGTAAGAGCAGTCCAGAACTAACTTTTTAAGTGCAGGCAGATTTGCGTCATACTTAATTTTACGTATTGGTTATTACTATGCAAATCATTGTTTTTTGTTGAGGGGTAATTGAGTACCTTAATGTATTTGAATTCTGCTAGGTATTAAGATTTTCTTGTTGGGTGGGGTCTCAATGTTATTTTTATTCTGTTGCATTTGCTAACTTTGTTTTAAAGGTGTAAATGCAAGATTAGTTGAGGGTGGTTAAGAGTTACCTAAATGATTAAGAATGCAGTATTTTCAGCCCATATCTCATGTGTGCAAAACAAGTGGTATTTTTTTATCTCTTCCTTTGATTGTTTTAAAATAAATCATTGCATCTTCCTGTCTCCTTGGATCATCAAGAGCAAGAGTGGGAAGTGATTACCAATCCACCAGTATTGATGCAGGGCTAAAAGAAACTACAGTTTTTGTTATGACATGGGTATCCAGTCTAGATGTCATACTGAGGTCATGGCATGGCAAGAAGGGTAGTCTTACACAGCTACATTACCTTAACAATGTTCTCACCATTCCAATGTTACTCTGTTTTCTCCAAATTTAAATTATGGCATGAAAGCAGTACAATAGTCTCCTTATATTTTTGTTATTATAAACATTACAATTTCTTTACCTTTATGAGGCTTTTATGCAAATTGTTAAAGGTCCTTTAATGGACACTCTTTGATATTTATTCTTTGTTTGCTCAATGATGGCTTATTAAAGTTTGTTTTTATTGTTCAATTGTATACTTTTTTTCATTTTGTAATATGTATTCTCAAACTAGCATGAAAGACTGAACAAATGTCTGTTAAGGATAGTTGAAAGAGGATAATTGTGATATTTATGTTGCAAGTACCAAACTTCCTATAGGTTGCTCTTTTTATCTATCTACCAGTCCACCTGTTGCAATTTTGCCCCATGGTAAAACTGTTTGTTGAAATAAACATAATAATAGCTATGGTCACTTTTGTATCTTTTAATGTTTGCTGTATCAACTATTTTCTTCTGTTAGTGTTTGATGTTTTTGCATTGAAGTAAGTAGATCTGGTCATCAACCATGCCACTGCCACAACACTACTCCTTTCCTTTCATTGTATTCAAATTATTAAGTGCCAGGACTATGTTGTTAAAGTAGGCATTGTTTACACAAATTTAAAATAAGTTATGTGAAGGTTCAAAACATAACATGAACTCAATTATTGCCCAAGAAGTAAGAAGTAGCTGTAAAGTGCATCTCCAGTTGAGAATCTTCGAGTAAAGTGTCTGTTTGACAGTGATTGTGGAAACTATGAGTTCAAATGTGTAATTTGTCATACTGTAGTACCTATTGCTTATTCATTTTTCTGATAAGTCCCTAACCTGTATTGTTTTTGTTCTTTTGGAACAGAACCATCAGGCTTCTCCACGCTCGACTCCCAATTCTTCTCCTCGATCAACAAAATCACCACCTCTTACAGGGTCTCTGCCTGGAACCCTTACCAGTTGTGCAAGCAGTCGGTCAGCCCCTCCCACTCCTGGGAGTCAACAACTACTTCTGGGATCTGCAACTGAGTTATCTTTAGGAAGTGACATGCGTGCAACATTTGGCAACTCAACAAATGCTCTTAGTAATTTTCATGCTGGTAAAGCAACTCTTGGAATGTTATTTTCAGCAAAAATTAGCTTTTAGTTTATTTTTAATTTTAAAACCTTTCATTCTGTTTGTTTATTTAAATTAGGGTCATCTGCATCACTGACAAGAGCAGACCGTAGCCTACGAAATGATTTATTGGTGGCAGCAGATTCTGTCACCAATGCAATGTCAACTCTTGTCCGAGAATTAAATTCAGGTACTGTAGAAGTCTTTTTATGAATTTCCTATATGGTACTTTGAATGGATTGATACAGATGGATTTGAATTTTTATATTACTTTAACATGTTTATTAAGAGCAAAATTAGAAA